GGCTGGGGGTGGGCTGAGATCCTGACCCAGCTCTTTTGCCGGGCGAGGCACTTCATGTGCCAGGACGGCTTTGTCTGATTTGCACAAAGGTGCTGTGACCCTGTGCCAAGAATCTTACCGGAGAGATCTCTTCTACCTTCTCTGTATGCAGATATTTTTTGTTGTTGTGCAGCATGTGGAGAATATGAAACATCTTTGTTTTCTTGGGTTCTTGTCCTTTTGGGCAGATGGGAGTTTGGTGTGAAGTTGTCAGAGAAAGTAGGGAGATGTGAAGGACCCAGAGGCAGGAATGGGGTGCTTGGAGCCCAGAAGCAGGAGAGCTAAAGATTTATTCAAGTCCTGTTTCCCCACTGGGTGGGTTCTAACCCACTGTTGCCACTTGCTGACATTGACCTGCACTTCAAAAGCTCACTTGGAGACCCATCCATCTCGCTTTTCCTACTGGCCCCTCGTAAACCTTCCCTTTCCACGCCACGAAATTGGAGCATTTATTGTCTCGGCTGCTGGTTAACTTTTTTTTTTTTTTTTAAGATTTTATTTATTTATTTGAGAGAGAGAGAATGAGAGAGAGCACATGAGAGGGGGGAGGGTCAGAGGGAGAAGCAGACTCCCTGCCGAGCAGGGAGCCTGATGCGGGACTCGATCCTGGGACTCCAGGATCATGACCTGAGCCGAAGGCAGTCGCTTAACCAACTGAGCCACCCAGGCGCCCTGCTGGTTAACTTCTTAAAAAACTTTTTATTTTGAAATAATTATAGGTTCTCAGGAACTTGCAAAGATGATGGGGAGAGGTATCACACAGTTTCCCCTAGAGGTTACGTTTTCTAGAACTGCAGTGCGAGCTCACCACTAGGAAATTGATGCTGGTGCTGTGTGTGCGTGTGTGTGTGTGTGTGTATGTGTGGGGGGGGGAGGGAGGGAGAGATTCTGTGACGAGCTCTCCCACGTGAGGGTCTGTAGCCAACACAGCTCAGCTCCATCACCTCCAAGACCCTATCACTGCCCTGGCACAGTCACCTGCCCCCCTGCTTCCCCTGCCATCCCCAGTCCCTGACAGCGACTAATTTGTATCCTATCTTTATAACTTTGCCACTTCAAGAATATTCTATAAATGGAACCACATAGTATGTGACCTTTTGAGATTGCCTTTTTTACTCTGCATAATTTTGAGATCCACCCGGGTTGTTGCATGAATCAAGTGTGTTCGTTCCCTTTTACTGCCAAGTCCTATTCTGTAGTACAGAGGCCCCCACAGAGTGTAACCATTTCTCTGTTGAGGGACTTCAGGGTTGTTGCGAATAAAGCTGCTCTGGGCATTCTTGCACAGGATTTTGTGAGGACCTAAATTCCCATTCCTCTGGGTTCAACGCCCAGGAGTGAGATTTCTGGATTGTATGATAAGTATATGTTTACTTGTTTAAGAAACTAGAAAACCGTTTTCCAGAGTGGCTGTGCCCTCTCGCAGCCCCATCAACGATGCATGAGACAGCAAATATCTTTGTGTCCTCACCCCCATTTGGTGTCCTCACTGGTTTTGTTTTAGATGTTTTAATAGTGGGTGGTGATACCTTGCCGAAGTCTTAACCTGCTTCGCCCTCACCTGCTTACTTGCTGTCTGTGTGTGCTTTCTGGTGAAACATCTCTTCATACCTTCTGCCCATTTTCTAACTGGATTGTTTTTCCAGCTGTTGAGTTTTGAGTGTTCTTTATATATTCTAGATAGAAGTCCTTGGTTAGAGATGTGGTGGGTTGTTTTTTGTTTTTTTTTTCCAGCCTCTTAAGAGTCTTTTGCAGAACAGAGTTTTGAGTTTTATGAAATCCAGTTTATTCATATCTTTCTTTTATAAATCAGACATTTCGTGTTCTAAAAACTATTTACCAAGCTGTATATGCTGACCATTTTCTCCTATGCTGTAGTTTTATGTTTTTTGTTTTTTGTTTTTTTTTTTAAGATTCTATCTATTCATTTGACAGAGGGAGACACAGCGAGAGAGGGAACACAAGCGGGGGAGTGGGAGAGGGAGAAGCAGGCTTCCCGCTGAGCAGGGAGCCTGATGTGGGGCTCGATCCCAGGACCCTGAGATCATGACCTGAGCCGAAGGCAGATGCTTAACGACTGAGCCACCCAGGCGCCCCTATAGTTTTATGTTTTGAGTTAATTCTCCAGTGTCATTTGTTGAAAAGGGTATTCTTTGGGCACCTGGGTGGCTCAGTTGGTTAAGCGACTGCCTTCGGCTCAGGTCATGATCCTGGAGTCCCAGGATCGAGTCCCGCATCGGGCTCCCTGCTCGGCAGGGAGTCTGTTTCTCCCTCTGACCCTCCCCCCTCTCATGTGCTCTCTCTCATTCTCTCTCTCTCAAATAAATAAATAAAATCTTTAAAAAAAAAAAGAAAGAAAGAAAGAAAAGGGTATTCTTCCTCTGTGTAATTGCTTTTGGATCTTTATAAAAATCAGCGGGCCATGCTTGTGTGGGAGCATCGTTGGGTTCTCGCCTATGTTCAGTTGACCTAGGTGTCTGTTCCTTCACTAAATCCACACAGTCTTGATTATTATAGCTGTATAGTAAGTGTTGAAATTGAGTGATTCCTTTCACTTAGTTTCTGTAAATTGTTTTAGCTAATCTAGCACCTTTCCATAAATTTTAGAATAACTGTAACTACACACACACATACACACACACACACATAGAACACACACCATATCCATACCTATAAAAGATCTTGCTGGGATTTTATAGAAATTGTGTTAAACTTGTATATCAATTTGGAGAGAATTGATGTCATTACTGTTTTAAAGCTTCCAATCCATGAACATGGTATGTTCCTCCATTTAATTGGTTTACTTTGATTTCTTTCATCATTTTGTTTTCAGCATACAAGTCCTGTACATGTTTTATAAGATTTATACTCTTTTAGTGATTGCTAATAATATTGCATTTTAAATTTCAGTTTCTACATGTTCATTGCTAGTAGACAGTTGACTTCTGTGGGTTGATTTTTATGTCCAGTGACCTTGCTGAATGAGTTCACTTGAATTCTAGGAGGCTTTTTTGGTAGGTTCCTTGGGATTTTCTACATAGATATCATTTCATTTCTTCTGAAGGTAGGCTTAGTTTTATTTTCTCTCTCTCTCTCTGATCTTTACACCTTATATTTCTATTCTTTATCTTACCGTACTGGCTAGAACTCCCAATACCATGTTGATTGGCACTGCTGAGAGTGGGCATCCTTGTCTTGTTCCCAGTTTTGGAGGAAAGGATTCAGCTGTAGGTTTTTGTCAGTGTTTGTTAAGTTAAGGAAGTTCTCCTCTATTCCTAGTTTTCTGGGTGTTTTTATCATGAATGGGTGTTAATTTTTTTTAATTCCTAGGTCTTTCTCTCTAGCTAGATTCTGAGTTTCTGGAGATCAGACTCTGCTTCATAAACACTTTATTTACCTGCAGTGCCTAGCTTGTGCTTTTCCCAGAGTAAGCATTGAACTCATGTTTGTGGATCAGTACAAACGGGCCTGGTTACTGATGGCACATGCGTGTGGGTCCTAAGGAGGGAACTCACAGGAACACCTCTCACCAGCAGTCCCGATCTGCTAGGCCTGGAGGAGAGATCCTAGCTATTCTTTCTGGTCCCCGTTACCATTTGACTCGGTGGTTTCAGGCAGAAATGGAAGTTGTAGGCACCAGACTGATGCTGCAGTAGAGATACAAGGAAAGCAGAGACCTGAGGAGTCCTCTTTGACCCAAGTGTTGGAAGTGAAACTTTTTAGGGTAACTGCCAACTAAAAACCACTGAGTTGTACACTTTAAATGGGGGAATTGTATGTTATGTGACTTATATCCAATAAAGATGTTATTTTTTTTTTTTAAAGCAAGTGCCAAGTGGGCAGTGAGGTCTGGGATTTTCTGTGCCAGGGGGTGAGTTACTGCTCCCAGTCGTTTGGGGTCTGAGCCCGTGAAGGCTTTTTCAGACAGGCCCCCTGCTGCTCTTCGCCCACTGCAGTATTCACTGGGTCCCCTCAGAACTTAGAAACTGGCTTAGGTACAGTATTGCTAATTCGGAAGCACTAGCCTAAGAGCGATGAACTGGACCTACTTCCCAGTGGGACCAGATCTCCCACAGTCTGGACGCTTCTGCTCCTGTACTTAAGGCGAGTCTGTGAGGTAAGAACGGGGCCGGAAGTACTTTTAACAGTGAGGAACTAAGAAAAAATGAAAACAGGCGCCTGGGGGGCTCAGTTGGTGAAGTATCTGCCTTCAGCTCAGGTCATGATCTCAGCGTCCTGGGATGGGGTCCCGCATTGGACTCCCTGCTCAGCGGGAAGCCTGCTTCTCCCTCTCCATCTGCTGCTCCCACTGCTCCTGTTCTCTCTCTCTCACTCATGTTCTCTCTCAAAATAAATAAATAAAATCTTTTAAAAAATAATGAAGTTTCTCATTATCACTAGCAGTGGTGGCATTAAATCGAGGATGTGCCCCCCCAGCTCCTGTTTTAGGGGGACGGGCAGGCCGCTCGGCTTGTGGTGCATTTCGGTTTTGTCCTGTTTCCCGACTGCTGGCCACTCTTTAAGCTGAAAGAGGCACTGTGTCCTCCTGGTGTGGAGCAGCTGCCAGGTTTCAGCGAGTTGAGACCTGGGTGCCTTGATGAAGCGAACCAAGAGACCGATCCTGGTGGATGGCCTGGGAGTTTTCTGCTTGATGACAGTCGATGCCCATGCAGAGGCTCTCTGTTGTGATGTTGTCTTGGAAGCACAATTAAACCCTTTCTGTGTCTTTTATCTCGCAGGGCTCAAGGGTTCTTGTTGATGCACGAGACAAGCTTGGCATTCCGTGGCAGTATTCGGAAAATGAGAAGCACGGCATGTTCCTCCTGGCCTTTGAGAACAAGGCGGGGCTGCCTGTGGAGCCCGCCACCTTCCAGCTGTACGTCCCCGCGCTGAGCGCTCTCTGGAGGGACTCCGGCATCAGGGAGGCTTTCAGCCGGAGGAGCGAGTTCCAGCTGGTGAGTGGTGCGCAGGCCCCAGGGCGGCACAGTTGTGTTTTACGTGGCTGATTGGACCTTCAGTAGAAGTTCCTTAAAAACTGTCAAAGTACCGGCCAGCTGCGCGTTGCTGTAAATCCTAACATTCAACAACAAAAACACATAACGGAAGCAAATCAAGCTATTAAATGGTTTAAGGGGGCAACGTGAATTCAGTCTGGCTGAGTCAATGTTTTGTTCAAAGAGTACGAAGGATTCTTAAAATACTAAAATTCAGTGTAACTCACGGAACTCAAAGCGTTTAGGCCTTATTCATAGTAGGAAACTACTGTCTCCTGAGAGCTGCTTTCCAGCTTGTACCATGTGGGTCCTGGCCAGTCGTGACTGTGTCCAGATCAGCACCTTGGGAGCGAACCTGAACCTTCCCAGTTGCTCTTCTTGGATTCTTTCCTTTGATTTTAAAGTCTGAAAGTTTCGAAATGCCTGGTCGTCTCTGTCATTTAGATTCGTCTAAGACATGCCTGTTGGCATTTTGGCTTTTTCCTCAATGTCCTTCATTCGCCGTAGACGGAGTATCTGGTTTCTGCTGTCACTGGCACAGTGGTTCCCGCCCGTGCCATCCACGCCCGTCCATGCCCAGGGGCTCCGAGCACCTCGGACTCCCATGCCGTCTGCCCCTGGGAGCTGGGACCCCAAGTTCGGAGCCATCAGTCCCCTCCTTTCCTAGAGTTTTGCCATAATATGTACTTTTCAAGTTTTCTCTATTTTCAAACTTGATATAAACCGTATATATTCTCCTGTGACCTGCAGGTTTGAGATTGGTTCATGTTGCTGGTGTGGCTGGGGTTCCTTCATTTTCACTGCAGGAATAAATCAGGGGGGCCCGTTCTCTCTGTGCTGTGGCCTTTCTTGTGTGTCTCCCGACATACGTGTGCAGGGGTTTCTTCGGGACATGTCCCCTGTGAGCAAGACTGCCTGGTCATTGGGCACATAGACCTCCGAATAGACAAGATCTGTCCGATCATTTTCCAGAGTGGTTGTAGAGAGTCCCTGTTGCTCTCATCCTTGCTGATACTGAGGGTTACCCAACTTTAAAAATTGTATTAGTATCTCCTTATGGTTTCATTGAAATCTCCCTGATGATATTCATCGGCTACATGTGTTTTCTGGGCTGTGCCTATTCATGATTTTCCCAGTTTTTTTTAATGAGTGATTTGTATTGGAGGGTCCTGCGGATGGTCTGCCTGGTCATTTTTTCCGTCCAGTTTTCATATGCTCTTCACCCTGTCTCTGCTGAGGCTGACCTCTTAAAGAGACGGAGTAGGGCCGTCAGTGCCAGGAGATGGGTGTGGAGCTGCATGGTGAATGAAGCTACAGACCCCAATCTGGTTCCACCGTTTTCCCTCGAGGAGCTTTCCCAAGTCCCCAGATCCTGCTCGGGACCCCACACAGCCTCAGTCGTCACTCTCCTTAGTCTCCAATCTGTGACCGACCTCCGTCTTGTCTTGGTTTCCATGACCTCGACACTTCGGGAGCACTGGCCAGTTATTTTGTGGTGTCTCTATTTGGGTTTCTCTGGTATTTCCTCATTGTTAGAATGAGGTGATGCGTTTTTTGGCAGGAAAACCGCAGAAGGGATGATGTACCCACTCAGAGCATCCTTTCAGGGGTTCAGCTCCTGGTGACATGAGGCTGGGCTTGCAGGGTCTCTGCTGTAGAGTTACTCTCGTTCTCGTTACTGTTAAGTATTTGGAGACAATGCAGATATCCTGTTTCTCCTCAAGCTTTGGCCCACTCATTTTAATATCCACTGGTGGATCTTACAGGTGACATTTTTATAACCCTTTCTCATCTTTGCAGTCTTTTTCAAGTTAACTTTTAAAAATTAAGGTGGGAGAGTCAAAAGAATGAGAGGGTGTGGCTGTCCTGGAAAAAAAATCTTAACCTTCTAAAGGGGGCAATGTCAAAAACAACCAGGGAATACAACATCTAAGTGTGAATTTGGGGTTTAAGTCTTTCTCCCTGTAAACGGATATGTTCTAGGAGAGAAGGCGGAAATCGCTACCACCGATTGAGAATTTACTGAAGAAGCCAGTGTAAACCTCCAGAGCCGATTATTTACAACTCGTGTTGAATAAGCATTCGGCCTGGGAGGGTGGTGTGCTGGGGCAGTTTTGCCAGACTTCTGTGTGCTGGTTCCGTTGCACGCTGTGTCCTCAAGCTGGAAGGGACCTCCCAGCTGAGTACCAAAGCCTCGTGTTGGTACAGACCGGGAAATAAGCTGGAGAGGTTATGGTTTGCTCAAGGCCGTGTCCTCTTAATTATCACCATGATGAACTCGAGCCTCAAAGCCAGTCTGCTTGTTTCTCCATTCATTTATTCATCCAGCGTTTATGGAGCACCTTCTGTGTGCTGGACACTGTGTAGTATGCTGGGGATACAGCAGCGATGAGACCAACCATGAGTCTGTCCCCGAGAGCCTTTAATCTAGACCTAACCTTGGTGTGGGGTTCAGGTAAGGCTGCCAGAAGGTGGATATCGGTGTCTCTGTTTCTGTCTTGTGCCCCCACAGCCGAGCTCTCTGAAGACCCGGTGCCTGGGAGGTGTACGTTCCAGGGAGCTGGCTACCCTTCAGGACTGTCCTCACCAAGGGCAACAGTGACAGTGGGTTTGGTTCATTGGGTAGTTAGGTGTTTGTTACTCTCATACTTGATACTTTTCTATAGGTTTCCTTTTATTTTAAAAAATTAGAGCATTTTCTTAAGAGAGGTGGGCAGTAGGCCTTCCTAGCCCTCGTGGCCGAGGAGTGCAGTTACGGCCAGCCATGAGGGGTCTGAGCATCGTCGTGCGGCATGATCAGCCCTCCCCTGCCCCGTCTGCAGCCCATCCCTCACCTCTCTTCTCTGTGGATCTTCCTCTTAGTGTCAGAACCTTTCCAGGGTGATGCTTCATCAACTTGTTTTTTGCTTTTTCTCTCCTCCCCTGGTGACCAGCCTTTGACCGTCTCTCAGTGGAGAGATCCAGCAGCTTTGAGAATTGCTGTCAGCCAGGTGTGAGATTTTTTTTCCTGTTCCCTCTGCCCTCTGAGTTTTACTTTACCATTCCAGGCAGAGGCAGAAACAAAAAGGGGAGGAAGAAAGGCCAAGTCTGGTGACTGCCTTGTGAGGGCCCTTTCTCCTTGTCGTGAGTAGGGGTGGGTGTGCAGGGCGGGAGTCTTCCTGCTCTGGAGCAGAGACGGCTGTGCCCTTCTGTGTGTTCGCGGCCGTCGGCTGCCATTCATGTGCAGAATTCGGTACAACCTCCTGCAGCTCAGAAAAGAGGAAGAAAGATAACCGACTACGTTAGACCTCGTCTTTCAACCACGTTTGAGGAAGACACAGCAAGACACCAAACCGAAAGGTTGTTCTCGTAGGTGTAACGAATATGAATATTGTCTACTTCTATGGCCTTTCTCTAATAAAAGAGAAGTTTGGATTTTTAAGCGTGTCTTGCAGATTATGAACTAATTAATCTGCTTGTAATATTGAATATGGATAATATTTCCACAGTTGGTCTGCTTTCTGTTACACCTTTGAATTTAGGGTCTCATTCATCAGAACAGTACAGCGTAGGTGTGCCCGCGGTCGTCTGTGCATAAGTCCTGGCACGGATAGGGCCCATGGGTTTGCACGTCGTAGTCCTCCTCGCTGGGCGTGCGGCCGGTGGACTTTCAGCCCTTTCTGCGTGCCAGGCCCTTTGCTGAAGTCAAGTCCCATTTATTCTGAAAGCTTGTATGCAAACAAATGATAGCAGTAAAATGTGCCGAGAAATATAAATGAGGCTACATTAGGGTTAAAGGGAGAAAATGGGCAATTCTAACCTGGCAGGTAGCAGTCAGGGGAGATGTTTTGGAGGAGATTTGTAAAAATGAGGTAGAATGAACCACTGGGGACGGTTGGCAGTGAGGTGGCAGAGGGGGCGCTGCAGATGACGTGCGGGGCCATGAGGGTGGCAGGGAGACGCTCTGTGCCTTCCGTGGCTCTGCCCCCTTCTCTGTGCTCGGGCCATTCGGGCCTAGCTTCCCTACCAGCTTTACTGTGGGGGGTTGGGGGGGCATCTTTTGCACAACTCTGTTAAATAGTTCATGCTCATCTTCATCTTCATTGTCGGACATTTACAACTTGGTGTTACTCTTAGGTCAGGTGTACCCTTTCCTGGCTCAGAGGACTGGGCATTAGTCCTGGGAGCTGGGTGCCTCACGTGCCTTCTCGTGGCATCTGTGCAGAGGCTGGGGCGACCACACAGTAGGTATGCTGCACACACAGGACAGTTCACATGGATTGTGAGTCACTTTTACAGCCTTTTGGTTCTTATTTCCAAGGCGCAGGGCCTTGTGCTTTCTTGAGACTGCCTTCCTTCCTTTGCTTTGGAAGATGGGACCGAAGGCTCAGTTCAGAGGAGCAAGTTTCTGTGGACTGCGCAGGGTTTCTTGATTCCTGGGAATCAGATGATTCTGCTTATTACACAGAATGACTTTTGTTTCCCCGTTACGTTTCAAGGAATCGCATCCCTGTAGCCTTACCAGAGATTGCTAGGAAAGGCTGGGTGTTCGGGCTGAATTTTAGGTGTGGAGGACGGTGGTTCATCACAGCTGTGTGGGTGGATGCTGTCTCCTTAGAAGCCGCTGAGTGTGACGTCTTAAGAGGGGAAATGACCCTGTGGCTTAGGGAGTAGCATGCTGACTATAAAAAGAACCACTGGAATCGTCAGCCTAGCACCTGACATAAAATCCACATGTGTCAGACTCCAATTTGGTGGCGCCTGGGGCTGCAGAATTATTCCAGCTTGATTGCTAGACACAGTCTGGGTTGGCTTTGCCTGGTCGCCTGCCCTTCCCGTCCCTCACCCCAGTGGTGCGCGCTGATTAAGGGCCACAAGAACATGGCTTACAAGCTCTCGGGCTTGGAATGCCTCATTGGGAAAGCTCCGAGATAAAGTAGTGCCCCAGTTCTCCTTTGCATTTCCGAAACAAACGTCCGTTGGGCCGGGTGGTAGTTATATCATCTGAGAAAAGAATGAACCAGTCCCTTTTCAAAAGGCTGGACGCCACAGGTTCATGTTCCTGAGCTTTCTTAGTGGGCCTCTGAGACTCCCGAGAGCGAGGCTAAGCGGAAGATGAGGCCATCTGTAGCTGAAGTCACTTTTTGTAGCTCTCCTTGAGCGCACGTGAATCAAAGGGCCTGATCCCAGCAGCACAGTTTTCTGCACCCAGCTCCGTCCTTCTGGGAACAAATGCCCTCCGTGATGGCGTGGCTGTTGTTTTGAGCCATATGGGAAGGGTTCCCTGGAAACTGGTGGATTAGGAATAAGACCTGAGGTCGCAGCATGCCCGGCAGGTGACAGGTTGCATCTGTGGGCTGTTTGGGGAGAACACAGGCGTTTTCCACTGAGTCTGGGGAGGCTCCGTTGCTCGTCTGGCTGTGTCTCGGCCTGCCTGAGTGCCGCCCAGGCACCTGCCGTTCACTGGACTCCTTCGCTCTGTCCTCTTCTCTCTGTCATCAGGATGCCCTGTAGTCGTGATTTTTCTAAATGCTGTAATCGGAGGTTTTAGACTAGAGGGAGACCGGAAACCCCCAGCAGGTGCGGTGAGCACGGTGCCTTTAGAGCGAGGTGTTTCTCGTGGTGCAGGTGGGGCATTTCAGACTCTTCCTGCTTCCCAGCGATGCCGGTGCTCCTGGGCATCCGCTGCTGCTGTGACGTGCGGTGGCAGAAAACCCCGAACGGGAGGGCCTCTCTCCCCTTCTCTGGTGAACAAGTCCCGGGACAGCCAGTCCAGCCATGGGGGGTGGGCCTCTCTCCAGGCCCTTCGCAGGGTCCTGCTGTGGGGCTCCTTTCCTCGGCTTGAGCCCCAGCCAGACAGCAGGAGGAGGGTGCAAAGGAGCGGCCCACCCTCTTCCTTTCAGGGCGACTTCCTGCAAGCACCACCAGCCGCGTCCTCGTAAATCTCTGGGAGCTGAGTCCCATGGCCACACCTACAGGGGAGGCTGTTGCCTGTGGGCCCTCCTGGCCTGGTGTTACTGAGGCAGAAGCCCAGAAGGGCCCCAGGCCGAGCCGGTAGCCAGCAGCCCCTGCCAGAGTCCCTCTGGGACCTCTCTGCCTCTAAGACGATTGGGGGCGGGGGTTAGTGCTCAGTGGGGAGCCCCAGGGAGGGAGAGTTGGGTCTCTAAGTTATTTTCACTTTCCTTTGTTGGGTGAGGAGATGGTCGTAATAGCACATAATAGGACACTCTAAAGTATCCTCTGCTGGCTAATGGAGATACCGCGCAACTGCGTTTTCCATCCTGTGTGTCCTTCTGAATTCTACGGAATTCATTCCTTCAGCAAATATTTGTGGAGCAGCCACCCTGTGTCCTGGGGAAGTAGCAGCAAACAAACAACATAAGGAGCTGACTTTCTGATAAGAGGAGCCAGTCGATAAATTAGCAGGCGTGCGTGTGTGTGTGCACATGTGCCCGAGGGCGTGTATTGTGTGTGTTAGAGGAAAACATCAGGGAACTGGGAGGGGGGCAGGGGGGAGTCTGCTTCGATGAATAGGGTGATCACAGGGTGGGGGTTCTGTAGCATAGTCTTGGTGCACCCACATTTGTGCTCCCTTCCATCGTGGTATCAAGTTGAGAGTACTGCCCCAGAGCCAGGCTACGTATTCTACTCTCTCCATGGTCTGGTGTAGCCTTGGGACTCTGTTCTGCGTCTTGCTCTTGAAATGACTGGGCAGGTCTGCCCCAGCCCCTCCATCTCCCTGTGGGCTGCTGACCCGTGCCAAGAGCCTGGGTGGTCAGCACAAGCCCACAGTGGAAGTGATCATACAGAACACAGCCAGAGGCACCTGGGCCATATTGTTGAAGCGTCTGTGTCTGGGCTGGAGCCCGGACTCCTGTAGCTTCCCCGAGTGGCATTTGAGAACCCTGAAGGAGGTGGGAGAGCAGGCCTTGTAGGTGTCAGGGGAAGGGGGAGGTTTCCTCGCTGGGAGAGTGACCAGTGCAAAGGCCCTGGGGTGGGGTCAAGTTTTGTGTTCCAGAGCCCAGTGAGCAGGTAGGGTAAGAGGGGACAGGTTCCCAGAGCAGAGGTGTTTATGTGGTTTGATTTACATTTTAACAGGATTGTTTTGGCAGCTGTTTCGATAATAGAAACAGGGAGGCCTGTTTGGAGGCTTTTACAATAATCTAGGTGACAGGATGGTGGCTCAGATCAGCATGATCATGGTGGAAGCGATGAGAAGTGGTCAGGTCTGTGTCTTAGAACTGGAGAGGAATTTGGAAGTCCTCTGGTCTCACTGCCCATCCAGCTTAAGGATTCCCTCGGCATTAGCCCTGTGGCTGATACTGAGCCCAGTATTTTATTTTATATGTTAAATTGAGACCACTGTTGGAGAGTCCCTTTCTCTTTGTGAGTGACTTCCGGGCCACCTGTGTGTCTGGAACGGCCCCTGGAGCCCACACAAGTAAACCCTGTGCTCGTGGTGTCTGTGTCCAAACACGTCCCGCCGTCCGTGCTCACTGCCAGGGACACGCGTCAGACTGCACGTCCCGGTCTTTCTGTGAAGGTCAGTCACCCTTCATTTCCTGAGGTCTCAAGATCGGGAGTGCCAAGAGTGAAGATCTCCGGCAGTGGAGGGCAGGTTACAGCAGCTTAGAGAGCCACACGCCCCCCAGGTGAAGCATCAGCCCCTCCTGTCCTGCTGGGGGAGCAGCGGGGTTCCCACGTGTTCCATTAGTGTGGAATTGGGCTCTAATTAGCAAACACTGAAGTCAGCCAACAGCCCCTTTCTCATGTTCCTACCGTGCGTACCTTCTCATGCTGTGCAGCAGAGGACCTCCCCGTCCCCTCTGCAGTCCTGGGTTTATCTCCAGCCATGCTAGTTTTAATCCTCTTAAATTTTTACCAGCTGAAAAGTGGAACAATTCCATGATTATTAGTTCTTTTCTTGCATGCATTAGCCATTTATAGTAATTCTGTGAGTTGCCAGTGATACCCTTTACTTCCTTTCCTCTTTTGGGAACAAGTTTCTATTGATTAATATTAGTCTCTTACTAGGTGCTCATTTTGGTATCACACCTTTTTTTTTTTTAACTTTATATTTTGAAATAATCATAAATTCACGGGAAGTTGCAAAGATAGTACAGAGAGGTCCTTACGTCCTTGGCCCATTTTCCCCTGTGGGTAGATCTTACATGACTCCAATATAATAAGAAAACCATGAAATTGACATTGGTGCAGCGTGTGTGTGTGCATGCGTGTGCAGCTCTGTGTCCCGGGTAACCGCCCCTGGAGTCAAGACACGGAATGAACTGCTCCATCACCGCAGAGATCACCCTCGTGCTGCTCCTTCTTAGTCACACACCTCCCTTCCTCCACCACCCCTGCCCCTGGCAACCGCTGATTTGTTCTCCATCCCTAAAGTTTATCAGCTTGCATGAATGCAGTCATAGTACGTGGGAACCTTTGGAGGCTGACCTCTCGAGATGCCCATTTATTTCTGGGTAGCTCTTCCTGGTCTGGAGGTGTCACAGGAACTACACATGCGGCCAGATACGCAGTTACAGACACGTCTGTACGTACACATATATGAAGAATCATCATCTGTATCTTAGAAGAATAGCTCAGGAATGGTAGAGATTAGTGAATAATTTCTAGAGAAAGTGGAGTACTATTTCAGGTCCTAGGAGACTAGAAATTAGTTTCGGTTTGGTACCGTGTGCGTGTGTGTGTGTGTGTCTAACCTTTCAAACTAAGTTAACTTTTTTTTTTTAAGATTTTATTCATGTATTTGTCAGAGAGAGCACAAGCAGGGGGAGCGGCAGAGGGAGAGAGAGAAGCAAGCTCCCCACTGAGCAGGGAGCCTGACGTGGGGCTCGATGCCAGGACCCTGGGATCATGACTTGAGCCTAAGGCAGACGCTTAACCGACTGAGCCACCCAGGCGTCCCCTAAGTTAACTTTAATAGTGTGATTCGTAGGGGAAAATTCAGTCTTCTTAAAACCAACTGTTCATGTCAAAGGGACTTGAAATTCTCTAACCAAATCCTCCTATTTGATACTGAGACGGTTGGAGGCCTGGGTGTTGAAGAAATTGGCCTGTGGTGACGCAGCTAATGAACAGCCTGGCCGGGATTACAGTGCAGAGAACCCCAAGGAGCTCCAGCCTTTGAAGGCCCGTCTGAGTCCCGATCCCAGTGCTGGAGGGGGCGGGGCACGCTGAGCTCTCCTCCAGGTGGCTCTTGCCCGAGGACACAGAAGCAGGAAACAGAGCTGTGCTATTCTTGGATCGGGGGCCAGTGAGAAACTTACGTGTTCCTGCTCAGGGTGTTGGCCTTTCCCCTTCGTTTCATTGATCATGACTAGTATTATATACTTACCTCTACAACCTGCTCCCTTGGGGGAAAGATACGAAGTGTTAAGCATTTTAACATAGATCCCTGTGAATACCGTCGCTCTAAAGGCCTGCCTCTGGAGGGTTTGTAAGCTGCTGACATAATGGTCCAGGTGGAAATGCGGTATCTGCAGGCACACTTCGTTTTGTTGCGCTCTGCAGGTAGTGTGTTCTTTACAAATTAGAAGTTCATGGAACTAGCAGGAGACCCAGAAGTGGAGCCTGAAGATGGGACTGAATTGCACCACTTGAAATAATGAGGAGTTGCTTCTTATGGATGAGCAAAGAAAGTGGTTTCTTGAGACAGCATCTACTCCTGATAAAGATGCTCTGAGGATTCTTGAAATGACAACAGAGGATTTAGAATATTGCATAAACTTAATTGATAAAGCAGCAGCAGGGTTGGAGAGGATTGACTCCAGTTTTGAAAGTTCTGTGGGTAGAACGCAATCCAACAGCATCCCACGCTACAGAGAAATCCCTCATGAGAGGAAGCGTCCATCAGTGCCGCAAACGTCAGTGCTGTCGATTTTAAGAACTTGGCATGGCCACCCCAGCCTTCAGCAGCCACCAGCCTGATCAGTCAGCAGCCATCGATGACGAGGCAGACCCTCCACCAGCAAAAAAGACTGTGAGTCCCTGAAAGCTCAGGTGGTGTTAGCATTTCTTAGCCGTCAAGCATTTCTTACTTAAGGCGTTCATAGACATAACGCTGCCGCACACTTACCAGACTACGGTATAGCTTAAACATAGTTTCTGTGTGTAGTGGGAAACCAAAAAATTCATTTGACCGGCTTTATTCTGTTGTGCACTTTATTGCAGTGGTCTGGAACCGAACCTGCAACGTCTCTGAGATGTGACTGTGATGGAATTAATAATAGAATATTTTGTGTGATAACAAGGCCAGAAACCCCAAGAGAAAGAATAATGGATTTCACTGAGTAAACATTTTTCAGTTTAGTGTGGCAGACGTCAGCACAAAGAAAGTTAAAAGGGAAATGACAAATTAGGAAAAAATCGCAACATCTAGCAAAGATGTTTTTTTAATATGTTGAGAGTGTATGAAACAACTACAACATGAGCTCTTATGAACCGGCACATGAAGACTCAGCAGAAGAAGTAAAACTGCTGTCCTCACTGCTGACTGTGCAAATGCAAATTAAAGCGGTAATGAAGTAATTTTTCTTTTTAAGATTATTTGAGAGAGAGAGAGCACACATGTGCAGGGGGGCGGGCAGAGGGAGAGGGATCTCAAGCTGACTCCCCACTGAGCGCGGGGCCTGACGCGGGCTGGCTCCCATGACCCCAAGATCATGACCTGAGTCGAAACCAAGAGTTGGGTGCTTCACCGACTGAGCCTCCCAGGCGCCCCATGAAGTAACTTCTTGTCAGTCAGACTGGTGGTGATTCTGAAGAATTCCTTGGGCTGATTGAGGTCCTGGGAAATAGGTACTGTCGTCTGTAGGTGGCAAGAGAGCAAGTGGTTTGGTTTCTCTGTGTGTCAGTGTCACATCCTCTGCAGTAATTCATCTTCCAAGGAATTTACTCTGAAGCAGGAACTGTGAGATTTCCGGCTTCTAATCACTGCAGACTAGTTATCCAGAGACTTCTGCCGAAGATAACTTAAAATGCCAGATAGGATGTTGAAAACAACTTTATGGAAGCCTCTAAGTGCCGAGAAGATCGTAAGGACTCCAGGCCAACCCCTGAGAGCGTGGGACCTGCAGAGGTGAGCGGAGCCCTGGCAGCTGTAGTCCTGAGACGTTCGGTGATCTAAACCAGGAGCCTGAACTGTTTCATAGACTTTTCAGGGTCTCAGAAGGAGGTAGAGACTCAAGATTGACAGAGTTGAGGAATCTGACAGGAAACTCCTCTGTAGTGAGCTGGGATCTCGGGGGGGCAGGGGGTGAGCCAAAAGCAAACCCAAAAAATGGGGAGAGTGGAGAGCATTACCTGGCTACTGAGCCAGGGCAGGGAGGGGAGAGGCAAAGGAAACTGTCTGTAGGCAAGCTCCCTTGAAGACTTGGTGCTCGGCTCCGTAAGGCGGTCCAGGAAGCCCCAGTGCTGTGAGTTTACTTTAAAGTGATACTAGACAGGGTGGTGTGCCTCAGTACCTGGTAGAAGCAAAAGGGGACCTCTCTGGAAAAGACCCTCTCATCCTAACCCTTGGAATTCCCCAGAAATATTTCTAAGGACAGGGGTTGGGGGGAGCATCCCAGAGATAGCCAGAATCACAAGGAAACAAGGCACAGTACCTAGAACCGGAAGAGAGGACAGCAGAATCTGACCGACAGTGTTTAGGTATTGGGCTTACCAAATGCAGATTTTAAAACAACTATACTCGGGGCGCCTGGGGGCTCAGTCAGTAAAACATCTGGCTCTTGGTCTCAGCTCAGGTCTTGATCTCAGGGTTGTGAGTTCAAGTCCCGTGTTGGCCTCCACACTGGGTGTGGAGCCTACTTAAAAAAAATAAAGTAAAACAACGATAGTTAATATGTTTAAGAAAATAAAAGTCAGAAAATATCTTCAGGAAAAAAACCTGGAAACTATTGAAAGTGACTTAACATATTTTAAAAGAACTTCTAGAATTGGACAATACAAACACCAAAATTAAAACTCAATGGATGTGTTAGGCAGTAGTTTGAGCCCAATAAAAGAGAATATTAATAAAGTAGAAGAAATACAGGAAGCAAATTTCAAGAACATAGAACAGAAAGACAGAAACAGGGAAAATAAGAAAGCTCAGTTGAGAGGCATGGAGCCTGGTGGGAGAAGGTCTAATGTACATTTCAGCAAGAGTTACAGAAAGAAGGCTGGAGCAAAGGCACTATCTGAAGAGATAATGGCTGGTAAAACATCATATCACAGTGAAGAGTCCCAATGAGTCCCAAGCAAGATTAATTAAAAAAAAAAAACAAAAAACCCACACACCTATAACTAGACCTATCACAACAAAACTGTAGAAGCCAAAGACAGAAAAATCTTAAAAGCAGCTACAGAAAATGGTAGAGATGAACTTTCAAGGAGGGACAGTTTGGCAGCTTTCTTCCCAAAAGCTACAACAGAAACCATGAAGAGTGAATGATGCTTTGAGGTGGTGGTGGTGTGTGAGAGAGTGTAACCACTAATCTAGAAATCTGTAAAATGAAGGTAGAACAGAGACATTTTCAGATAGAGAAAGAGTTTATTATCCCCAATACCAAAGACTCCACTTCAAGCAGAAGGCAAGGGATTCCAGATGGAGGGTTTGAAACATAACAAAGAGTGAAGATTAATTTATCTATTATTTTTTCTTTTGTTGGTCATGCTTTTGGTGTCAAATCTTAAGAAATCATGACCAAACCCAAGATTAGAAAGATTTGCCCCTATGTTTTCTTTTTATATTTAGGTTGTCCTCTTACATTTTGATTGTTGATCCATTTTTGAGTTAATTTTTGTATATGGAGTGAGGTAGGGGTCCACCTTCATTCTTTTGCACATGGACATCCAGTGGTCCCTGTTGAACATCTGTCCTTTCCCCATTGAGCGGTCTCCGCCCCCTGGATGAAAATCAGTTGGTCATACATGTTGGGTTTATTTCTTATTCTATTGGTCTGTATGTTTATCCTATGCCAGTAACACACTATTTTGATTACCATAACTTTGTAGTAAGTTTTGAAATTAGGAAGTGTCGGTCTTCCAGCTTTCTTTTCTTTTTCTCATTGTGGTTTTGACTCGCACTCCCCTGAGGACTAATTATGTCAAGCTACTTTTAAGGAAAAATAAAGTAGGAGGGACTTGCTCTTCATGAAGGTCATCAAACTACGGCCCACAGGCTCTTTCATGTGGTGTGTTTTTGTTTGGACCCCCAGCTAAGAATGTTTTTTACATTTTTTAAAACTTAGAGAAAAAGAAGAATATGCAATAAAACGACTATATGTGGTTCACAAAGCCTAAAATATTTACCATCTGGACCTCTACAGGAAAAAAAAAAAAAGTTTGCTAACCCCTTCTCTAATAAATCTAACACTGAGATTTGTAGTTTAAAAAAAAAAAAAAAAAGTTAATAACCAATACAGTGGGGAATTGGTTCAGCAGAATAAGATGAGTAAATTGGTGGAACTACGGGGAGAACAATGAAATTGGATCCTGTGCACACACCCATTTTCAAATGGATTAGAGACCTAAATATGAAAAGCAAAACTACATATTTTTTAGGAGATAGTATAGAACAATCTGTATGATCTTGGTACAGGGAAGAATTTAACTGATTAAAAGTGCAAATGCAGGGGTGCCTGGGTGACTAGGTCGGTTAAGTGTCTGACTTGATTTTGGCTCAGGTCATGATCCTCAGTGTTGTGAGATTGAGCCCTGTGTCAGGCTCCATGCTGAGCCAGGGAGTCTACTTGAGATTCTCCCTCTCTCTCTCTCTCCCCCTCCTAACCACCCCCCCCCCCGCCCCGGCTCACATGCATGCTCTCTTTAAAAAAAATAAAATAAATAAATGCAAAAGAAAAGACTAGTAATTTGACTACCATCAGATTAAGAACTTCTTCTCATCCAAAGACCCCACCAGCTGTGGGAGTGGAGAACATGTTCGTCATCTATAACTGACAAAGGAAAAGTGTCCAGAATGCTTAAAGAACTTCCACAAATCCACAAGAAATAGGCAATTTAATAGAAAAAGGTTAAAGGCTTAACAGACATTTTTTTAAAGGACTTTATTTATTTATTTATTTTAAAGATTTTATTTATTTGACAGAGAGACACAGCAAGAGAGGGAACACAAGCAGGGGGAGTGGGAGAGGGAGAAGCAGGCTCCCCGCCGAGCAGGGAACCCGATGCGGGGCTCAATCCCAGGACCCTGATATCATGACCTGAGCCGAAGGCAGACGCCTAACCGACTGAGCCACCCAGGCACACCGATTTTATTAATTTATTAGAGAGAGTGCACACACAAGCGGGGGAGGGGGGAGGGACCAAGGGAGAGGGAGAAGCAGACTCCCTGAGAGAGAGCCCGAAGTGGTGCTCGATCCCAGAACCTTGGGATCATGACCCGAGCCGAAGGCAGATGCTTCACTGACTGAGACACCCAGGCGGCCCTTAATTTTTAAAACAATGAAATGATATTATATGCTCACCAGATTTGCAAAATTAAAACATTTGACGATCCCAAGAATTGGCAAGGATGTAGAGTAATAGGAACTCTCATTAGCCCTGGTGCTGGTGAGTATATAAATTGTATACCTTGTTTAGAAAACAGATTGGTATTATTAGCTCAAGTTTAAGATCTACATTCCCTGTGGCTCAGTAGTCCCACTCCTGCGTATACAGAGGGTGTGTGTGTACATGTTCATATGGCAGTATTATTCATAATTGGAACAGTCCATATGCTCCTCAGCAGTCAAATGGGTAAATATATTATTTTTTTATTCCTGAGTACTGCAGCAAAAATGGACAGAGGACCGCCCCTGTCAATAGGTATCGTGATGTTGAACCAAAGAAGGCCAACAGGAAGGCGTATTACCGTAGGATTACAGTGCGATGCAGCCCCCTTGTTGAGTGCCCATGCAGGTGACAAAACTACAGGGAGGGGTTAGGAAATGTCACCAGCATCCGGACGGTGGTCAGTTTACAGGTCAGGGTGGGCGCTGTACGAGGGCCCTTCTGGAGTGCTGTTCCTGGTTCACACTGACCACGGTGGTCACGGTGTTTGAGTTCAGCTGGACATTTCTCTTATGCACTAGTCTTATGGCCTGCCATAGTTCACAGTAATAAGGATTTGAAAGGGAAAATATACTTAGATGAATATGCACAGATTATGTGTAGAGAATGTTGAATGTATTGCTCCTAAATGCTAAAACAAAGAGGAAATAGCCCGAATACTCTCCAGGAGGGATTGGCTGACCACCAGTGAGGCTGCTGACCATGGATCAGATGCTGTACAGCTGGTAGAGAAGCTAAAAGAGAGGCTTGTACACCAGCATGGAAACAGGTCCCTGACACAGCAAGTGAAAACAGACCAAGCAGCAGGACATGTATAAGAAAGAAAAAAAGTACACACACACACACAGGAATATACTCATTAGTGCATGTGTATATATACTAATGCACAGAAAATTAAAACCTCAAGTAAATATATCCACTGAACTACTCCAGCTGTTACTTTTTATTTTATGTCTATAATTGCAAAAATACGTATTTTAAAAATTATTTTTAATCATTGTAGAAAAACATTTTTATAATCAGAAAAAGCCATGAAAACATTTTAAAACGAATTGTAAAAATTAATGACTGCAGACAACAGTTTCATAAATCTTTTGCATTGTTCCTAAAAGAAGGTTTAAGGTCTGAATAATTCTGGTTAACTGAAACGTGCTGTTAATCTGAAAGTTTCAAAGGATGGCTCCTCCCCTTCTCGTCCCCCACTTCCTTTGAGCAGATTTCAAGAAATGTGGTCCACTGGAGCGCGTGCTGAGTGAGCCTGAGGACTGGGGAGAGCCCTGGGCTCTCGGACCCCCGCCTGGTGCAGGAGCTTCGGTTCCGCAACTGTCAGAGAGGGCAGCACGCCTCCTTTTAGATCAGCTCAGCGGTGAAAACACCTAGCATCGTGTTGGCAAGACACGTCTGTCCGGGAAACCAATTTGCCGATTTAGGATTTCTTCTGTACTCAGTACTGGGCCGTGGGCTGTGAACGGAGGCTTCTCCTCGTCCTTCCTCCGAGCACCAGGGCTCAGATGCCTGCAGCAGGCACCTGCATCTCCCCATGTGCGGAGACATGCACGGATGCCTGTTGGTCGGTGTCACAGAGACAGACCTGCACCAGGTGGGTTTCTAACGAAAGCCGTCATTCAAGGACACGGGAGGAAAGAGGCCGCTGCCATGATAAGTAGTCATGAGACTGACGAACTCGGTTGCTGTAGTGAAAGAGGCATCTAGAAAAGCAAGGTTGCCCTGTTCTTGCTGTCCTTGGGGAGCTTTCCTGAGAATTTTGCATTAAAGCCAGATGAAATGGTGGATTTATTCACTTGTTATGCCTTTTTTTTCTTTCTTCCTTTTTTTCTTAATGGTGGTAAAACACGCCTTTCCTTTGTTATAAGCCACTAAGGCTTTCTAGCGGGTCAGTATTAACAGCTGAGCAGATGTATCGAGGCGAGTCTTGGGCAAGTCTAGTTTGTGTGTGAGCAGTTCCTCGGGGATTCCTTGTGGGTGGGGACGGCCGACCATTTAACAAATAGGTCAAGAGATTGGATGCGGCCCTCATCTTCTGATACTGGAAAACACCTTTTCTGGGGCCACCAGGAGCGCCCCACAAGCTTGTATAGCAGCACTTGCTGCTCGTAAGTTCAAGGTTTAGAAATAAAGCCAAGGTGCTATCTGTGAGCCTTTCAGACCAGGGCAGGCAGATTGCACAGCTGTCCATCTTAGCTCGAGCTGCTGTAACTGAATACCACACGCGGGGTGGCACAAATAGCCAGCGTCTCTTTCTCATGGTTCTGCAGGCTGGGGGTCCAAAATCGGGGTGCCTACAGATCTGGTTCTTGGCGAGGGCCCTCATCTTGTGTGTGCTCAGAGCAAGCTCTGGACTCTTTCCTCTTAGGAGGGAGAGCACTAATCCCATCATGAGGCTCCTCCCTCAAGACCTCCGGGTAAGCCCGTTTACCTCCCAAAGGCCCCACTTCACAGTCCCGTCACACTGGGGGGTCGGCGGGGAGACACAAACATTCAGCCCACAGCGGTGACCCTGCCCTTGCTCCCTCTTCCCTACTTCCTTTCCCAAAGGTAGTTAACCAACCTCTCTTCCTCAGTTCACTTAAGTCCTCTGTGTTTCTGCATTTCTATAAGAAGACATGTTTTATGTGTTTGGCTGCATGGCTAGATCTGTGTTATTTTTATGCATTGGAAAAAGGATGCCTTTCTAATTAAAATAGGATTGTCTTCCTCCCTTTCCAAGAGTTTTGAGCCCAGAGTATTAGATGGCATTAAAATTTTTATTTTCAAGGAGACCCCAGCCCCCTGAATTTTGAGGAAAGCAGAATTCAGGGAGAGAAAGGAGGGACCAAGGTTCGCGTTTGCTCAGGGAATCAAATGTAGGACATTTAGAATGCGGATGTGTTCATGGGAAGGTAGCTCTGAGATGCACTCACCCCTGAGGAGCCCAAGACAATGGATCTCTTGCTTTTGCCTTGCTCCTCTGCCCTTACTCTGGTGTGGTGGTAGCAAAACTGACTACCGAAACCTCTGCTCAGTAAATGGGGTTTCAGTTCTTGAAGCCAAGTTAGTTTCTATTCCCAGTTTGGCGTATGCTCTTTCCCTGAGCCAGCTTGATTATGAAGTTCCCGAAGACCAAGCTGGTGGTGGGGATGGTGCCGTGACACGGTACCCCGGGATGGGCAGCTCTGGTTGGAACTCGTCTCACGAGGCTTTGATTTCATCCCTTGTATGATATTTGACATAAAAGGAACTCGGTTTGGCCGAGGCCCACTGCATGGGTATCTTGCATCATTCTGGGCATTTTAGCAAATTCTCCAGAGCCTCTTTCTGCATTTGTACTTCCCAGGAGATATGATGTGATGCCCAGTGTGACTGTCCTTGGAGTTCTGGTGTCAGTCCTGGTTTTGCCTGAGCACAGGAAATCGGTGACTCGACAGTGACCCATGTTCCCGAAGTGTCGACAACCCACAGCCCCCCTCTTCTCCCACCTGGTTGTGCTCCTGATGTGAGTGTTGGATACTGGTGTCCAACCCTGGCTTTGTTGTCACCTTGCTCATCATTGACCACCTTTCTCTCCTCTCTCCTTTTCATGCTGATCTCAGATTTCAGGTATCTTCTCCTGTAGCTCCCCTTGCAGGATAGCCTCGTGCACCCCGTTTTAGTCCATGGGTGACCTGTCCCTTCCCTTTGCTGCCGTCATGGGCACTACAGGATTGCAGAAGGATGCTGTAGCCAGAGAAAGACTGGGGGGTGGCCAGCACTGCCCCACGTGATTCTGCTGCATTTATTAATGGCAGAGACACGGGGCACAGTGGTCCTCCTGAGTTCTGACTAAAATGGGGGAGTGGGAATCAGGCTTCATTTCCAGGTTATTTTCCCTTTTCTCTGTTATTCTTGACCTGCTGCTCTTTTTCGTCCAGAACTTCATACTGAAATCCTAGTCTCCCAAGACCATTCTGGCTGGCTGATCGCTCATTCCAGCCAACTTATATCGTGGTGTTTAACCCAAAACAAGGTTGTAAAATAAGGAAAAAGCAGTGTCTCAACTCCAGGAAAGGGATAACTTGATCAAGCCTAAGACCTTAGTAGCTGGGAGACGTATTTCTCCAGGGCTCCCCCAACCCTGTTTTTTTAAACTTTGTGAATTTTGTACTATATGCGTTTATTATCTATTCAAAAACTTTAAAAATGTTAAGTAATTCATAATACAGTGAAAAGTTCAAATTCTATAAGGAAAGTATGTTACTGGGGCGCCTGGGTGGCTCAGTCGTTAAGCGTCTGCCTTCGGCTCAGCTCATGATCCTGGGGTCCTGGGATCGAGCCCCTCATCGGGCTCCCTGCTCAGCTGGAAGCCTGCTTCTCCCTCTCCCACTCCCCCTGCTTGTGTTCCCTCTCTCGCTGTGTCTCTGTCAAATAAATAAAAATAAAATCTTAAAAAAAGAAAAATGTTACCAGCAAACTTGAAAGAAGGATGTCAGTAAACTGAATTATACAATTCACACTGTTTTTAGAATATTATTATTATTGATTGTGATATTAATAGTGATTCCCATATAATGGGTGCTTAACTGTGCCGGCCACTATGCATGAACCTATCATAAACCAAACCCCAAGTGATAAGTTGGCTCTTCAAACACACATTTTGTTTCATAAGTATGTGCAACATTGTCTTTTTTTTTTTTTTTAAGGAAACAACTAATAGATGAGGCTTTATGCATATTTTTGTTTTATAGTTGTTTGGTTTTATTCATCTTTGAAAGTGGTTTGTGTAAAAAGGAAGACAAATTTAAGTCTGAAAGAAATATTCAGTAACAGATGTTGACTTACATTCTTAAACTTTGTGCTTTAGCTGCACCTTATATAATTAAGACGTTTGATGAATTAATGATGTGGAGTCCCGTTTCCCCACACTCCCACCTCCTGCTCCTTCTCATTCATTCTGCTCCAAGCATAAAGGTCTTCTTGCTATTCCTTCAACATTCTGAGCACAGTCTGGTCTCAGGGACTTTGCACTTGGTGTTCTCTCTGCCTGGCATACTCTTCCTCCTACATCTTAGAAAGGTTGATTCAAATGTTACCTTCTTAGTGAAGTTTTCCCTGATTTTCTTGATTAACAGCACGATTCCACCCACCGCTGCCTGTTATTTTTCCCTGCTTCATTTTTAAAATACTTTTGTTGGAGAATTTGTTGTACATGTATATATACATGCATGCATGTGTATATACACACATCTTTGCATATACATTATATATAAAAAGTATGTGTATATAAACTCAGTTTTCACAAACTAAACACATCCATGTAACCAACACCCAAATCAGGGTACAAAATTACCAGCACTCCAAGATCTCTTTTCTTGACTCACTACCTTCCACTCTCCAGAAATAACCTGACGTTCAAGAGCGTAGAAGAGTTTTGGCTGGTTTTGTATTTAGTGCGTATAGCACCATGCAGCATTTACTCTTCTGTAACTGGCTCCTTTCCTTTAGCATCATGTTTCATGAGATTCATCTGCGTTGTGGCGTGGGTCGTAAATCCCCCATTCTCATTGGTGTCCAGGATCCTCCTATGTGAATATAGCGCAATTTAATACGCACTCTCCTGTTGATGGGCACTTGGGATTTTGACAGAGCGCGTTACTATGAATATTCTAGCACATGTCTTCTGATGAAGAGATGTAGGCATTGCTGTCAGGTATATCTGGGAAGTGGAGTCGCTGGGACAAAGGACATGCATATGTTCAGTTGTAGTAGCTTTTTCACAGCATTTGTATCAATTTCTATTCCACCAGCAGAGTTCAAATGCAGCCACTTCCCTTCCTTACCAGCCCTTGGTATTCTTTGTCCTTTTCATGTACTTATTCTAGTGACCATGTAGAGGTCTCTCGCTTGCTTACTGACTGAAAAATAATTGATGTATGTAAATGAAGAAATCTTAAGTGTATACAGCTCAATGAATTTTACCTGTGTATATACTCCTATAACCACCACCTCGTCTAAAATAAAAAAAAAACATTTTCAGCGTCCCAGAAAGTTCCTCCTGCTTCTTCCCAGTTGATACCACTCCTCCCAGTGAAAGCACTGGGATTTTTATCACCATAGTGTTTTACCTGTTTTTGAAGTCCATTTAACTGGAATAATTTATGCCCTTAAATCTGACTTAATTGTTCAGTGTAATGACCAAGATTTATCTGTATGGTTACATTATTGGTAGTTTATTCTTTTTTATACATAAAGGGAAATGAGAAAGGAATTTAAATTTTCACTACTTTCACGGCGCCTGGGTGGTTCAGTTGGTTAAGCATCCAACTCTTGATTTCGGCTCAGGTCATGATCTCAGGGTCATGAGATCAGGCCCCACACTGGGCTCCACACTCAGCAGGGAGTCTGCTTGAGATTCTCTCTTTCTCCCCTGCCCCTCTCCCTGCTCACACACGTGTGCGCTCTCTCTCAAATTTTTAAAAAATCACTACTTTCAACTAAACACAAAAGAAAATAGTAATGCAGGAAATGAATATAAAAGCTACAAGGTGTATAGAAAACAAATAGCAAAATGACAAAGGTAGGGCCCTCCCTACCAGTAATTATTTTAAGCTCACATTGATTAGACGCCACAATCAAATGACAGAGACTGGAAGAATGGATGAAAACACATGGCCCAACTATTTCCTGCCTGCAAAAGATTCACTTTAAACCCAAAGACACAGATAGATTGAAAGTGAAAGGATGGAAAAAGTTAGAAGAGAGTAATGTGGCTATACTAATATCCAACAGAATCGACTTTAAAATCAAAAAAAGGTTGCAAGAAACAAAGCCTTGTATATTAATAAAAGATTCAATACAGCAAGAAGATACAAGTTATTAACATGTATGTACCTAATGACAGACCATCTAATATATGAAGCAAAAAGTGACAAAGGGAGAAGTAGACAGTTGTACGATAACAGCCATAGACTTCAACGCCCCACTCTCAATAATGAACAGAAGAACTGGACAGAAGATAAGGATGGAAATAAAGGAAGTAAACAGCACAATGAACAATCAGATCTAACAGACCTGTACCAGCCACCCAATAACGACAGACCACACACTCTTCTCAAGTGCACATGGGACATTTTCCAGGAGAGACCACTAACTTAGACTGCAAATAAATCCCAGTAGTATTAAAAAGATATCATAAAAATAATCTTTAATCACAACAGGATGAAGTTAGGAATCAATAATAGAAGTAAAACTGAAAAATTCACCAATCTGTGGAGATTGAACAGCATACTCTTAACCAGTGGGTCAAAGAAGAAATCACAAGGGAAATTAGAAAATACTTAGAAATGAATGAAAACAAAACCACAACATACCAAGATTTACAGGGTGTGGTAAAACCCACACTAAAGGGGAAATTTATAGCCATAAATGCTGACATTATAAAAACAAGAAAGATCTCAAATCAACCTGATTTTACAACTGAAGGAACTAGAAAAAGAAGAACAAACTAAACCCAAAGCTAGCAGAAGGGGAGAAATAAAAGATTAGAGCAGAGATAGATGAAATAGAGAACAGAAAAACAATAAAGAAAATCAGTGAAAGCAAAAGGTGGCTCTTCAAAAAGATCAACACAGTCAACAAACTTTTAGTGAGATGGGCTAAGACAAAAAGATTCAAGTTCTAAAATCAGAAATGAGGGGCACCTGGGTGTCTCAGTCGTTAAGCATCTGCCTTCGGCTCAGGTCATGATCTCAGGGTCCTGGGATCGAGCCCTGCATCGGGCTCCTCCCTGCTCAGCAGGGAGTCTGCTTCTCCCTCTCCTGCTCCCCCTCCTTGTGCTCGCTCTCCTGCTGTATCTCGCTCTGTCAAATAAATAAATAAATAAATTTTAAAATAAATAAAATCAGAAATGAAAATGGGGACTTATCACCGATTCTACAGAAATAGAAGGGGTTATAAGGGAGAACTGTGAATAGTTGTATGCTAACAAATTTGACAACCTAGACAAATTCCTAGAAACACAAAACCTATCCAGACTAAATTATGTAGAAATAGAAAATCTGAATGGACCTATGACCAGTAAGGATATTGAATCCGTAATCAGAAATCTAACAGAGAAAAGCACTGGGCCTGATACCTTCACCAGTGAATTCTACCAAACATTTTAAAAAGAACTAATACCAATCCTTCTCAGACTTTTCCCCCAAAAATGAGAGGAGAGGGGAACACTTCCTAACTCATTCTGTGAAGCCATCATTACCCTGATACTAAAGTCAAAGACTAAGAAAACCGGTATCCTTTACAAATATAAATGCAAAAATCCTCAACAAAACACTAGCAAACCGAATTCAGTGGCATAGTAAAAGGATTGTATACCATGACCAGTGCAATTTATTCTGGGAATGGAAGGATGGTTCAACATATGAAAACCGATCATTGTAATACCCCATGTTAACAGAATGAAGGATGAAAGAACCCAGGGTATTCTCAATGTGGTAAAAGCATTTGATAACATTTAATACCCTTGGGTAAACACAGTCAGCAAGTTATGAATGAATGGAAATTACTTCCATATGATAAGCCATATGAAAAACCCACCACTAACATCATACTAAGTGTTGAGAGACTTGAAAGCCTCTCCTCTAAGATCAGGAACAAGACAAGGCTGCCTACTTTCACTACTTCTGTTCAATGAAGTACCAGAAGTTGTAGCCAGAGCAGTAGGCAAGAAAAAGGAAAGGCATCCAAACTGGAAAGGAAGAGTAAAATTATCTCTGTTCATAGATGACATAATTTTATATATAGAAAACCCTAAAGATGCCACAAAAATCCTGTTAGAGCTAATTAATCCAGCAAAGTAGCAAGATACAAAGTGAACATATAAAAATCATTTGCGTTTTTATACACTAACATTGAACAATCTGAAAAGAAAATTATGAAAACAATTCCATTTACAGTAGCATCAAAAAAAAAATAGAATTATCCAAGAAAGGAAAAGACTTATGAAAACTACAAATAATGCTGAAAGAAATTAAAGAAGACATAAATGGAAACATATCTCATGTTCATGGATTGGAAAATTTCATATTTTAAAATGTCAATACAGGACTCAGTCGGTGAAGCGTCTGCCTTCAGCTCAGGTCATGATCCTGTGGTCCTGGGATCGAGCCCTACATCGGGCTCCCTGCATAAGTAGAGAGTCTGCTTCTCTTTCTCCCTCTGCCCTTCCCTCCTCTCATGCTTTCTCTCTCTCTCAAATAAATCAATAGAATCTTAAAAAAAAAATGTCAGTACTACCCAAAGAGATCTACAGTTTCAGTACAATCCCTGTCAAAATCCTAATGATGTTTTTCTATTAATAATAAAAGAGAGGGGGCATCTAGCTGGCTTAGTCAGTAGAGCATGTGACTTAGTCTCAGGGTTGTGAGTTCAAGCCCCATGTTGGGCAGGGAGCTTACTTAAAAAAAATAATAATAATATGGGCGCCTGGGTGGCTCAGTTGGTTAAGCGACTGCCTTCGGCTCAGGTCATGATCCTGGAGTCCCTGGATCGAGTCCCGCATCAGGCTCCCTGCTCGGCGGGGAGTCTGCTTCTCCCTCTGACCCTCCCCCCTCTCATGTGCTCACTCTCATTCTCTCTCTCTCAAATAAATAAATAAAATATTAAAAAAAAAAAAAAAAAAATAATAATAATAAAAGAGAGGGGGCATCTAGCTGGCTTAGTCAGTAGAGCATGTGACTTAGTCTCAGGGTTGTGAGTTCAAGCCCCATGTTGGGCAGGGAGCTTACTTAAAAAAAATAATAATAATATGGGCGCCTGGGTGGCTCAGTTGGTTAAGCGACTGCCTTCGGCTCAGGTCATGATCCTGGAGTCCCAGGATCAAGTCCCGCATCGGGCTCCCTGCTCGGCGGGGAGTCTGCTTCTCCCTCTCCCACTCCCCGTTTGTGTTCCCTCTCTCGCTGTGTCTTTCTCTGTCAAATAAATAAATAAAATCTTTAAAAATAAATAAAATAATAATAATAATAAATAAATACTCCTTGGGAAACTCATGAAATCTCAAGGGACCTGAAATAGCTAAAATAGTCTTGAAAAAGAACCAATGGAATACTCACGCTTCCTGATTTTAGAACTTGCTACAAAGTTATACTAATCAAAATCGTGGGGTACCTGCATAAAGACAGACATATCAATCAATGGGATACAATAGAAAACCCAGAAGTAAATCCTTGTGCTGTGTTCAAATGATTTTTGACAGGGGTGCCAGTAACACTCATTAGGGAAAGGACAGTCTTTTCTTTTTTTTCTTTTTTTTAAAGATTTTATTTATTTATTTGAGAGAGAGTGAGAGACAGAGAGCATGAGAGGGAGGAGGGTCAGAGGGAGAAGCAGACTCCCCGCCGCGCAGGGAGCCCGATGCGGGACTTGATCCCGGGACTCCAGGATCATGACCTGAGCCGAAGGCAGTCGCCTAACCAACTGAGCCACCCAGGCGCCCAAGGACAGTCTTTTCAACGAATGGTTCTGGAAAAACTGGAAAACCACATGTGAAAGAATGAAGTTGGACCCTTACCTAACACTGCATACAAAAGTTAAAATGTATCATAGACCTAAATGTAAGGCCTAACACTATAAAATCTTAGGAGAAAATATAAGGCAAAACTTTATGACATGAGATTTGGCAGTCATTTCTGGGATGTGACACCAAAGGTAGAGGCAACAAAAGAAAAAATAGACAATTTGAATTCTACATGAAAAATGTAAAATTTTGTGCATCAAAGGACATCAGCATAATAAGAGAGCAACCCACAGAATGGGAGAAAATATTTGTAAGTTATATATGTGGTAAGAGAGGTTAATATCCAGACTATACTGAGAATTCTCAAAACTCAACCACAAAAAAACAACTACCCAATTCAAAAAATGGGTATTAGACTTGAATGGACATTTCTCCAAAGAAGATGTACAAATGGACAATAAGCATAAGAGAAGATGCTCAACATCACTGATTATTAGAGAAATGCAAATCAAAACTACAGTTAAGATACCGCCAAATAACCATTAGGGTTACTACAATAAAAATAATAGAAAAGAACAAGTTCTGGCAAGGATGTGGAGAAATTGAAATCCTTGTGCACTGTTGGGATTGGGATTGTAAATGGTGTGGCTACTGTGGAAAACAGTATGGCAGTTCATCAAAAAAATAAAAATAGGATTATCATATCCAGCAATTCCATTTCTGGGTATACACAAAAGAATTAAAAGCAAGGTCTTGAAGAGATATTTGCACACCTATGTTCATAGCAGCTTATTTACAAGAGCTAAAACATGAAAGCAACCCAGGGGTCCTCTAAGGTTAAATGAATAAGGAAAATGTAATATATACATACAGTGGAATATTATTCAGCCTGGAAAAGGAAGGAAGCCCTGTCACATGTGATAGCATGGATGTACCTTGAAGATACTACACTAAGTGAAATAAGCCAGTCCACAAAAAGAGAAAAACTATATGATTCTCCTTATATGAGATACTTAGAGTATTTAAAATCATATAGAAAAAGTAAATGGTGGTTGCCAGGGGCTGGGAGCAGGGAAAAATGGGGAGTTATTGTTAATGGCCATAGAGTTTCTGCTTTATGAGATTAAAAGTTATGGACAATGATGGTGATGGTTGTACAACATTATGAACATATTTAATACTGCTGAAGTGTATCCTTAAAAATGGTTAAGAGGATAAATTTTATGTGTGTTCTACCACAATAAAAATTGAAGGGAAAAAAAACAGTTTATGCAAAAAGCAGAAAATGGAGTGGAAAACAAAAATAGGAACAATGAACAAAGGTAACAAGTAGAAAACAGTAACTAATAGTTATCAATCCACCTATACTGATAATAACTCTGAATGTCAGTGGTCTAAATGCACCAATTAAGAGACAGAAATTTTCAGAGTGAATCAAAAAACAACCCAACTAGAGTACCCACCCCCCCAAAACCCACTTTAAATATAAAGGCACATAGTGAATAAAAGTAAATAGATGGAAAAATATATATACCATGCTAACACTAGTGTAAAGAAAGCAGGGATAGCTACATTAATTTCACACAAAGCAGACTTCAGAGTAAGGAAAGTTATTAGAATAAAGAAGAGCATTACATTAAGATAAAGGGGTCAGCTCTCCAAGAAGACATAAGAATTCTTAACATGATGCTCGTAACAGCATAGCATCAAACCACATGAGACAAAAACTGATAAAATTGCAAGGAAAAATAGATGAGTCTATTATCATGGAGACTTCAACACTCCCTCTCAGAAATGGACAGATTGAGCTGGCAGAAAATCAGTAAGGACACAGCTGAATTTAACACTGTCAGTCAGCTGGGTGATAATGACATCGAAGACTACCTCATCCAACAACAGCAGAATTCACATTCTTCCCAAGCTCACATGGAACATTAGGCAAGATAGACTGCATTCTGGACCATAAAACACAGAAAACAATCCACCTTACAGTGTCTGTTCTCAGGGCACAATGGAATTAAACTAGAAGTCAGTAACAGAAAAATTACTGAGAAATCCCAAAATACTTGGAGATTAAACAACACACTTCTAAATAACACTTGAGTCAAAGAAGAAATTTCAAGAGAAATTTTCTTAAATTTTGAACTAAATGAAAACACAACTTAATCAAAATTTGTGAGATGCAGCAAAAGCAGTGCTTATAGGGAAATTTATGGCATCGAATGCATTTTTAGTAAAGAAAAAAAGATCTAAAATCAATAGTCTAAATTTCCACCTTAAGAAACTAGAAAAAGAAAAACGAAGTAAGTCCAAAGTGATCAGAAGAATTACAGCAGAAATTAATGAAATTGAAAACAGGAAATCAGTAGACAAAATCAACAAAACTAAAAGCTGTTTCTTTGAAAAGATCAATTAAAATCGATAATCCTCTAACCAGGCCATCTAAGAAAAAGAGTGGACACAAGTTACTAATGTCAGAAATGGAAGTGAGGACATCACTACAGATCCCATGGAAACTGAGTGGATAATAAAGGAATACTATGAACAACTGTATTTCAACAGATATGATAATCTAGATGAAATGACCCAATTCCTTGAAAGACACAATCTGCCAAAACTCACACACAAAGAAGTAGATGATCTGCATAGGCTTATATCTATTAAAGAAATTGAATCAATAATTAATAACATTTCCAAATCAAAAGCACCGGGCCCAGATGGGTTCACTGCTGAATTCTATCAAACATTCAAGAAAGAAATTTACCAGTTCTCCACAATTTCTTTCAGAGGATAGAAGCAGAAGGGATATTTCCTAATTCATTCCATTAGACCTGCATTACACTAATACCAAAACCAGATGAAGACATTCCAAGAAAAGAAAACTAGAGAGAACAGTATCTCTCATGAATATAGGTACAAAAATCCCCAACAAAATAGCAAATCAAATCCAGAAAAAGTATAAAAAGATGACCAAGTGGGATGTATACCAAGTGTGCAAGGCTGGTTCAACATTCAAAAATCAATTAATGTAATCCATCATATCAACAGACTAAAGAATAAAAATCACATGATCATATCAATAACTACGGAAAAGGGATTTGACAAAATTAATACCCATTCCAATACCAATAAAAACCCTCAGTAAACTAGGAATAGAAGGGAACTTTCCCAACTTGATAAGGACTATCTTCAAAAAACCTATAGCTAACATCACATTTAATAGTGAGAAACTAAGCTTTCCCATAAAGATCAAGTACAAAGCGTGAATGCCCCTTCGCCACTCCTTACCAACATCATACCAGAAGTCCATGCTATTGCAGTAGGCAAGGAAGGGAAATAAAAAGAATACATATTAGGAAAGAGGACCTAAAACTGTCTTTGTTTGCAGATGACATGATCATCTGTGTAGAAAATCCAAAAGAATTGACAAAAAAATCCCAGAACTACTAAGCAATTATAACATGGTTGTAAGATGCAAGGTTAATATGCTAAAGTCCATCACTTTCCTAGATGCCAACAATGAACAAACGGACTTTTTTTTTTCAAGATTTTACTTATTTTTTTGACAGAGACAACGAGAGAGGGAACACAAGCAGGGGGAGTGGCAGAGGGAGAAGCAGGCTTCCCACTGAGCAGGGAGCCCAATGCGGGGCTCGATCCCAGGACCCTGGGATCATGACCTGAGCCGAAGGCAGACGCTTAATGACTGAGCCACCCAGGCGCCCCGAACAAATGGAATTTTAAATTTAAAAAACAGTATCACTTACCTTAGCACCCTAAAAATGAAATACTTAGGTATAATCCTGATAACAAAATATGTACAAGATGTGTATGAGGAAAACTACAAAATGTAGATGAACAAGATCAAAGAGCTAAGTAGATATTCCGTGTCTATGGATAGGAAGACTTAATATTTTCAAGATGTGAGTTCTTCCCAGTTTGATGTACAGCTTCATTGTAATCCCAGTAAAAATCCCGCCACATTATTTTATGGATATTGATGAACTGATCCTAATGTTTATATGGAGAGGCAGGAGACCCAGAATAGCCAACCCAATATTCAAGGAGAATAAAAAATTTCGAAGTGTGATGCTACCCACTTTGATACTTACTATAAAGCTACAGTAATCAAGACAGTGTGGTATTGGCAAAAGAACAGAGAAATAGATCAATAGAACAGAATAGAGAGCCCAGAAATAGACCCACATAAATACAGTCAACTGCTCTTTGACAGAAGAGCAAAGGCGGTACAGTGGAGCAAAGATAGTCTTTTCAGGAAACAGTGCTTGAACAACTGGACATTCACAGGCCAAAAAAAAAAAAAAAACAAAAGAAGAAGAAAGAAAGAATCTAGACACAGACCTTACTCCCATCACAAACTCAGAAATGATCACAAACCTGAATGTAAATGCAAAACTGTAAAACTCCTGGAAGATCATAGGAGAAAACCTAGATGACTTTGGGTGTGGTGGTGATGCCTTTTAGTGACGACACCAAAGACCTGATCCATGAAAGAAAGAATAGCTATGCTGGACTTCATTAAAATTAAAAACTTACACTACAAAACACAATGTCAAGTGAATAAGAAGATGAACCACACAGACTGTTAGAAAATATTTGCAGAATACATACCTGATAAAGGCATGTTATCTTAAACACAAAGAACTCTTAAAACTCAACAGTAAGAAAACAGCCTGATTAAAAAATGGGCCAGCGACCTTAACAGACAAGATAAACAGATGGCAAGTACGCACATGGAAAGATGTTCCACATTGTATGTCATCAGGGAAATGAAAGTTAAAACAGTGAGCTACCACCACGCACCTACGAGAATGGCCCAAATCCAGAATGCTGACAGCACTAAATGCTGTTAAGGATGTGGAGCAACAGGAATTCTCAAACATTGCTGGTGGGAATGCAAAATGCTACAGCCATTCTGGAAGACACTTTGGTGGTTTCTTACAAAATCAGACATAATCTTAGCATGTGATTCAGCAGTCATGCTCTGAGGTGTTTACCCAGGGAACTGAAAATGTACATCCACACAAAAACCTGCACATGCATATTTATAGCAGCTCTTTTCATAAGTGCCCAAACTTAGAAACAACTAAGATGTCCTTCTGTAGGCGGATGCATTAATAAACTCTAGTCCGTTCAGACAGTGGAATATTATTCTGCTCTAGAAAGAAGCTTCTGAGCCTTCCAGGAAAGAGGGAGGGAGGAAAAGGGGAGAAAAGAACCCAGTGTCCAAGGCAAGCTTGGCACTTACCGTGCCCACAGCTGGCGCAAAAAAATTTTTTAAATAATAAAAGAAATAAAAAGAAATGAGCTATGAAGCCATGATAAGACATGGAAGAACCTTAAATGCATACTACTAAGTGAAAGAAGCCAATCTGAACAGGTTCCCTCCTGCAGGATTCCATCTATTATGACATTCTGGAAAAGGCAAAAATAGGAAACAGATCAGTGGTTGGGGCTGGCACAGGGTAGGGGGTGATGAATGCATAGGCCAGAGGATTTTGTAAAACAGTAGAAACATCTCATTATACTTTTGTCCAAACCCATCCGACGTGCACCACCAAGAGTGAACCCCCAGGTAAACTATGGACTTTGGGTGATTATGATGTGTCAGTGCAGGCTCATTTTTGGTTTAAAAAAAAAAAAGTTCCATTCTGGTGAATGATGTTGATCAGGGAGGTTGTACATGGTGGGGGCTGGAGGTTTTTGGGAAATCTCTGTACCTTCTTCTCAATTTCAGTCTTTTTGAAAAATAATTGTATTTTTATGTATTAGCAATGAATAATCAAAAATTGGCATAAAAATAGCCTTTATAGTAGCATAAAATCTATGACATACTTTGCATTAAATTTAATAAAAGATGTGTAGAATCTTGCAGTCTACTGAAAAATTACAAAAACACAGCTGAGATCTAAATAAATAGATGTGTAGATAAATAATAAATAAAAGATCTAAATATATAGACAGATATACCATGTACAGGAGTCAGAAGACTTGAAATGTCAATATATCTATTCTCCCCTAATTGATCTATAGGTTCAACAAAATCGCAGTGGGCTTTTTGTAGAAATTGACAATTTGATTCTGAAATTTATATGGAAATGCAAAGAACCTAGAGTAGCCACAACTTTGAAAAAGAATAACAAAGAATACCACACTACCTGATTCCAAGACTCACTATAAATCTACGTAATTAAGATAGCATAGGATTGGCATAATGATAGACAAGTGGGTCCCTGGAATGGAATAGAGAATCCAAAATTTATATTTTGTTTATTTTTTACCATAACATGTTTAACTAAAATCAAATCAAGGTCCAACAATTAAAATCTGCATTTGCAAGACACTTTTAAGAGAATGAAAGTTAATTATTTGCAGTTATCTATCTGGTAAAAGATTTGTATCTAGAATATCTACAGAACTCTTTAAAACTCAGTAATAAGGGGCGCCTGGGTGGCTCAGTCATTAAGCGTGAAAAGATTGAGTCAGTATCCCTTCCGTGCGTACATGCAGGTCCCGCTGCACCGTTAGGAGGGCTGACCCTACGGAGGGGTGATGTGGAGGAGTTGGAGTTCTCCAAGGCTGCTGGCGGGAACATAAAACGGAACTGCTGCCTTGGAAAAGCGTGAGGCACTTTATTAAAAGTTCAACCTACACTTCTGTGAGCGAGCCGTTCTACTTCTAGGTATTTATTGAACAGAAATGCAAATATATGTCCCCACAAAGACTCGTACACAGATGTTGAGAGCGGCTTTATTTGCAGTAGCTGCAAACTGCTAACTTGCCCGTCAACAAATGAAGGGGTAACAGATGAAGGGCCTACCCATCTACGCGGCTGCCACTCAGTAAAAGGAACAGACAGTGCAAACCCGCAACAGTGTGGGCAGATTATGCTGCATGAAGGAGCCAGACAAACATGGATGCACGCTATCTGATTTTATTGATGTAGAATTCTAGAAGGTACAGGCTAGTACACAGTGTCAGAAGCAGGTCAGTGTTGCCTGGGGCCAGGAAGGGAGTGCGGGAAAGAAGGGACACTCGGAGCTGCCACAACAGTCCCAAGTATGCACATGCCACAGGCTAGCACGTTGCACACTTGGTGTATGTGCGGTTCTGAGCTTGTCAGTTATACCTCAGGCCCTTTTAAAGGAAAAAAAAAGATAATGCTCTTCATTCACCGGGTCAGATTTTAAGTGGGTTCTTTTCCTGGTGCCTTATGAAAGTCACTCATTGAACAGAGCCTTCTTTGAACGTCACTGTCTTTGTTTACATACTCAGTTCAGCAAGGCCTGGGATCTCTCTGCCTTGATGGTTGGGGAGGGGAAGGAAGAGACCGCCTTTCTTTAAGAGCTCCCAGGACAGAGCAATCTCACTTCATCTGTGCTGTCGTTCCAGAAGTTTCTTCCTTTCACCACAGGGTCGGGGTCATCTGAGGGCCCTAAGTGCCCCCCTCGGCCGGCCTCTCCTCCATAGACTAGACTGATCCTGATAACTGGCCCCGGAAGGCGGCTGTGTCGTAGCTGGTGATTTAAATAGAACATTTAAGTGTAATTGTTTGAAGACTGGGATTTATTTAGTACTTTCCGAGTTTATGTCTGTTGTAGAAAATATGCCAGTGAGCGTAGTCGGCCGGATGTGTTTCCCAGGCAAGCTGCTTTAACGCTTCTTCTCCTGGACCGATGTGACATCACAACAGCCGCCATGGAACGTGTGTCCTTCAAGTGGAAAGTGCGGTGCAGAAGTTGAAACTATGGGCACCCATTAGAAAAGTTTAATTATCTGGACTTTTTTTTTCTTTTCCTTTTATGGAAAAGAAAGACAAACCATGTGTCCCAAATGTGGAAGGCAGAAATATTTTATTAGGAGAGATGACAGGATAAGGGAGGGATAGAGAAACAGTAGATGATAAAGCAGTATGCCTACCTTGTGCAATTCAGTCTATCCACAGTCAACAGTAGACTTGGTTGTAGTTCTGCAACTTCAGGCACACGGGATGTTGTTTTTTGTTTGTCTGGAGAGCTGAATGAAGTGCAGTTTGCGTGTTGGAGATTCCTGAGCTCTGTACGTCAGGCTCTTTCCTTCGATTTTAATAATTTCATTCCCTAATTTTATTCCTCCTGAGATTGCTGTGACAGGAAGTCATCAGAGCCTAATGCTCACAAGATCCGTGTTCATACGATCTTAAAACACTGCCAAAATGCTACATAACAGCTTGGCATTTAAGTAGAGAACAGTGCCGGAGCAAATGGGTGTCGTAATTCTGATTTGTAATAATTCTGCATGGAGAAACAGTTAGAGGCACATTTCCCATTAGCTTTCAGGAACTTAGCGAGGTCTCAAACTAACAAGTGAGGCCGACTCCAGGGGACCCGCATTGCCCTATAACCAGCCTTGCTGAGTGATGTCACACCTGAACTCTTTCAAACCTGATGGGGTTCTAGTGACTACTGAGCCACAGTGTATCTACATGTAAAATTTATGCGAGCATGGAATTTGATGACCCAAATCAGGGCATGTTGTGAGTGGGGAAAAAAAAAAACAAAACCAACCCTGCTAATAATTTTACCAGGACAGTAAGCTTGAAATGGGGTGCTCCAGGGCAAACTGGGGCATATGGTTATCCTATTTATAATGTGGCAGTGACCTTGAGTAAAGTCATGCATTTTAGATTTATGCATGGCTATCTGTGCATCTTAATGTCGAGCATATAGTCCATTTTCCTCATAATGCTAAGTCAGTCTATAGTCGGAACTGGATCCTACCTCTGCATGTTACAACGGTCTATTTTTATGACATTTTACTATAAAGTGTTTGCTTTTTATAAGTATGAAAAGTGCTTAATCCTCCCTTCCCCAAAAAAACCCAGACTTAAAAAGTAATGAAAGATCACTTTTCACCCACAAATTGTGGGTAGGGGAAAGAAAAGAAGAAATTAGATTGCTAATGTCCAGTGTGGCGAGGCCATGGGAAAATAGATACCTTCAGCCTTTGTTCACTGGGATATAAATTGGTAGAACCTTTTGGCAGGACAACTTGCCAGAGCTGTTACAAATGTAGATGGCTCTGGGTCGGCAGTTGTGTGTGCAGGAACGGAGCTTATGGTCACACGTGTCCCAGGAGGGCACTATGGGGACAGTTGCTGTGGCATTGATGGTGATAGCAGAGACTTTAACTGTAGAAACATCCCCCAGTAGCCCTAAGTCAGTACATGGCCTGTGTCAGCCTTCAGGATCCTGGGTGGTGCTTAGAAGGAGTGAAGGTTCACATCACTCTAAGACATGATAG